ACTGCTTCGGCCGTTCCGGTTGCACCGGCCGTGTGTCGCCGCTTACCCAGGACGCCGTGTTAAAGTTTATACGATACGCGTCGCCCAGTGCACGATTATAACGGTTCTTAGTTAATATTTGTTTTATATTTTATATGTTTGTAGAAATGTTTCTTATGTATGATCCAGTATGTATTTTATTGGAAACGCCGTTTTCCAGATGGAAAATTCAGGACAAAATGGATTTTTTAAATTGCCGGAGACCTGTGCCTTATTCTCGCGATATGGAAGGGGAAGTCAAAAAACAATGTGTACGTTCGGAAGTTTCGTAATGAATGGTTTTCGGTTGTGTGGAAGTGTTTATTTAAAAAAACTTTTCTGGTATGCCCTGTTTAATTGTGGGTGTAAAGTCGGGCGTGTGGAATAAGGAGAGATTTAACAATTTTGGGACCGTTGCGCGAGGCTGTCATATCCACAAAGCTTATTTGGAACATACATGATTGTACGGTGTGCGTTAATGATCACAGAAGTCCACAAGCGGAACTAATATGTCTATTTTTTATAAAATCTAAATGAAAATCCTTCTCACAAACGTTAGCTTTTCGGCAATATTGCAAATGTAACTAAAAATTTCTAGATTCATTTAAAACTGTTTGACCTTGACAATTTGAAAACTTTCACCTGCGGTGCTTTTTTTTGTAGTCAATCAATGAATATGCTTTATCTATTCTCAATGTCACGAGCCGCCACTGTATTAAATATAAAACAAGATGCACACCAATACTAACATTGCTGATGAGTAGGTAAACGCGAACAAAATAACACAATTAATGCACTGATACATACATATATAGTATAAAAAGATAAATCAATATCTTCAAAAAATTCCTTTAAAGTATAATATGCTTTCTCTAAAAAATTGTGTTTAATTTTACCCTAATATCTTTGTATGATAAATTTCTTATACCTAAAGGTAATTTATTATAAATTTTGAGTAATGAATACGGGAATTTTTTTTTTGAATATAACTATATTTTTCCTATATATTCAGTCACTAATGTATTTTTGTTTCTGGTATCACATAAGTGAGATAAGTTAAAATCTACGAATAATCCACTATCTGTCTGTTTCATGTTTAGAATATTCCTAATGCATCTCTTTTGTAATACAAATAGATCTATAGCATCACTAGAGTTTCCCCAGAATTTATATTTATTATTTCCATATTTTGTTCGGGATTGAACATAATTATGCAATATGGTACATTTTTTGATACTTAAATATTTTCTAATTCATAACAGATTTTCCAAACCGTTATGTATTTTTAATCAAATCCTTAGATCTAACACCTTCCTTGATTTATAGAAACAGTATCGTGTGTGTCCGGTTTTTAAAAGGACAAGGAGGATGTTGAAAACTACAGACCTATTGCTATTTTATGCAACTTCTCTAAATTATTTGAAATTATTATTCGCGAACACATTTCTTTTTATGCTAAAAACTTTATTGTTCCTAAGCAGCATGGCTTCATGCCTAGTAGATCGACAGTGTCAATCTTGTGTGTGCTACTCAATTTATTGCTGAGACTTTGGATGTGTTAGATCAGGTGAAAATTTTAGAGCATAAATTTCTTCCGATAAACTATGGGCGACGATTACAGTAGGTACTGTAAGTGGTAACACGAATAATAATTTGTTGGACTTATATGAAACCCGATTTTAGCACATATCATGAGTTTTAAGTAGGTTACCTTCAACAAGATGGAGCAACCGCACATACTGCAAGAGCAACAGTGTAAGAATTTAATGACAACAATCGACTGATAGTCGAGGGTGTGGCCAGCTAGGTCACCGGATCTAATTTCCTTAGATTATTTTTTGTTTTAATTAATTAACAATATAATTATTGAACAACAGTTGCAAAATGTGTATGGAAATATGCACAGGAGAGGATTTGTGCACAGCTATTGAAGGACATCATTTTAAACATAATATGTAATGTTTATTGCAAATATGGCAATATGGCTTACTAATTTATGAGTTCGAATTTTATATTACAGCGAAGAACAATGGTTTGTAAATTATCTATAATAAAAAGTAAACTGTCTCTCTTTATTTTATTCTGTATTTAAATAAATAATAATAATAAACTATTATAGGTTCACATCAAGTTCTTTTTATTTTCATACTAAAAATTTGCATTTTTTTCATTAACAAGTGAAGTTTGATAGTTTTCTCCTTTTAATAAAGTTAAAATCATTTCAACCAAAAAATAGAAGTGTGTTTAGCAAGTATCTAATAACAAATTATATGTATTAAGCTTAATAACAACAGTTCAAGTTAAAATCAAACTCAAAAACAATTTTATTTAATTATATCAATTATTCAACCACTCGACAGAGGTTTAGAGATTTTCGTTTGATATTACTAACCATGAATTATTGGTTGCCTATGCTCGATGGTCGCGTAGTCATTTTATAAAGGCTCTGTATATTAACTTTGAAATTTTATTTGAAATCGAGATTGAATATTATATTTTTATACTAACATTTTCATTTTTAGAACTTTCGATTATAAAGCTTTATAAAAACAACTGCATTTACACCCATACAAAGTAAATGTTTTGCCGTTCCGAAATGGCGCTTAGTAGTTTATAGGAAACTTGAACAATAATTTATAGGATTTGTCGTTTTTCACTGGTTTCACATATCAAAAGTTATGTAAATAGCCAAAATGATAGAACGTGGGCTACAGAAAATCCTCATATATTTCTAAAAACTAGTTTATATAGCTTAAAATTAGGGGTCTGAATAGCGATATCAAGTAGACGTATAGCAGGACCTTTATTATTCTATGAAATTATAGATCCTGAAAGACATCGAACAAGATGGAGTAACCGCATATACTGCAAGACCAACAAATCAATTTTTAGAAGAATATTATGATGGGTTGTGGCCAGCCAGGTCACCGGATTTAGCGCATTTAGGTTAATTTTTGTTTGGATATCTGGAGAATACTATTCTTAAAATGTGAATGAAATTATGCATAGAAGAGTAAGTGTGAGTATAGCTAGTGAAGAACAATATTTTGGCTTACTAATTTATGAGTGAATTTATTTTATATTGTAGCGAAGTAATGTTATTAGAGCAATAATTTGTAAATTAATCGTACACTAAACTGTAACTTTTTTATAATGCTATTTCTATAAGGAAAAATAAACTGTATGTTTATTTACACTGTAATAAAATTTGAAAATATGTAATAATCTGTTATGGCTTCACATCATGTTCTTTTTGTTTTCACCGTAAAAATTTGTAATTTGTTCATAAACAAGTGAAGTCTGATAGTTTTATCGTTGTAATAAGGTTAAAAGCATTTGAACGAAAAAACTAAAGTATTTTTCGTAAATGTAAAACTATATTGTATGTATTAAGTTTAATATCAACAGAGTTGACATTAAAAAGTTTTAAAAGCAATTTCATTTAATTACGCCTAACCCTTTCAACCATTCCACTGAGGTTTAGGGATTTTTTAATTGATAGTAGCGTAGTAGTAGTGCAATGTTAAATAGTTGCCTATGCTGGACGATAACGTCGCAGGTATTTTTGGTCCGATTTTATAAACAAACTTTTGATGTTAGCTAGAAATTTCTTAAAAATGATTAGTCCGCTAGAAAGCCATTAAATTTGGATTTAATTTTTTGTCACTTCATACTTTTTTCGTAAAACGCAATGGTTTTGTGGAAAATAACAAAATGTGATCAAATGCATATCGTGATTCGCCATTTTTCTCAAAAACATTTCGTTTTACGAAAAAAATATTACGAGACAAAACAGTTTCCAAATTCAATGGCTTTCTAGCAAACTAATAGTTTAAATTTAAATATGCGACCAAATTTTGCTGGTTCCAAAGACAAGGGGGTCTACAAAAAAGTGCCTTAAGGGGGTTCCCCGCCAAAAGGCGTAGCACTATCAGATTCAATATGTTATAACACCCCTGTGTACCAAATTTAGTGTTTCTCGTACAACAGGGTTCTGAGATATAAATATACTATTCTTAGGGCCATATTTCAAAGGTTCTGCACACTTTGAAAGTGCTAGTAAACCCCCCATTCATTTTTCGAAACGAGTTTAATTTTATCTTCTGATGCAATTTTTTACCTTTCAATGATTGTACCAACAAACAGCTGCTAACTTTTAATTACTGTGGTCGTGGGTAAAGTTTGAGCGCGACAATATCGCAGTGAAAAATGAGATAACCGTTTATCCTAAACGTGGGAAATGGAAGCATTCTATCTAGAAACATCAACGTTAATTTTGAATCAAATCATTTTATGCGTGCGTATGAATAAATAGTGCTTTTGTCTACCACACTTTACAGCGGCTGTCAATATTGCGGACCGAGTCCAGTTACTAAGTGACGATATATCTGTTGCGAACAGTTAGATAGAAGGCGACCGTCAGATTTAGAATTGATTGACGTTTTGTAAACATAATACGTTCAGCATTATTACTGTATTTCTTTGAGTTATATAAATTACATAATCAAGTTTAGAAGTTTAATTCATATTTAAGTCAATAAGACTACAATATGTAATATAGTGCCGATTACAGCATTGAGACTGCTTCCACTATTTAACGATGAGTATTAGAATTGTCATTTGGATGTCAATAATTTATTTATTTTTATGAAATAATTTTGACAATGTGGCGGTTTTTTCGGATTATAATGTATTTGTGACATTTACCGAACATTCAGTGCTGAGGACTGTCAAATTAGTCAAATGTCAAACCTGATAATTTAACAGCAAGATGGCCATGCCATTTTCCTTGTATAGCCACTGCATCAAATTTGCTCAAAGTAATTCCAATCATGTTTCGATGCTCTTTAATAATATTTTTAGATATTTGATAGTTCCTTAAATTCCGCAAATATACGTTGTAGTTTCATTTACTTTAAAAATGTTTAAAAAGTACTGATGGTCTTTGAAATGTAAGCGAAACGTAATTGTACTGCACTGCACTACAGATCGTCGTCGTCGTCGTCGTGGTCGTCGTCGTGGTCGTCGTCGTGATCGTCGTTGTGGTCGTCGTCGTGATCGTCGTCGCCGTCGTCGGCGTCGTCGTCGTCCTCCTCATCCTTCTCCTCTTCCTCCTCGTCTTTCTCATCCTCCTCCTCCGCCTCCTCCTCATCATCCTCGTCATCGTCATCATCAACATCATCACATCTTCGCCCCTCTCATATCACAGATTCATAAGACAAATTTAGGGGACCCATATTTTTTATTTTTGCCAAGTGGCTAGATCACATTTTGCCCTTTTTCTCGAAAACATTGAGTTTTACGAAAAAAATATCATTATCATTATCATTATCATTATCATTATCATTATCATTATCATTATCATTATCATTATCATTATCATTATCATTATCATTATCATTAAAACGCATAATGAAATATATCAAAATTTGAAAGAGTATAAAGCATTTCTATAGGATTTGATTTCCATTATTTTTATCAAAAATTAAAATACTTGAACATTCATGAATTTTAAAAACGTTTGTCAATAAAGTTAAATCAACTACCAACAACGAAGATGACCAGAATATCACAAATACCAACACATACACCAACACTAATAACGCAAGCAACACAATACCAGCAGTAACGATAAAACTTACTATAACAATAACAAAAATAAAGACAACTGTAACACTAACAATAACTGAAAGAGTAATAGTAACAGTAACAGTAATAGTAAAATATTATAAATTAAATTATATTAAATTATAAAAACATCATTTTCAGTATAAATACGAGAAAAAATAATCAAATTCAGGTATTAGATGCACATACTAAAACGTTTCATATAGTAATACGGACCATTCGACAACTGTATTTTTGTGGGCACACGTAACTTTGTATGTCAGCGATACATGGTGTTTGTATATATAAGAATGTTTATTCAAAAATTGCATCAATTCACGAAAAATTAAACTTCAGAATGGAATGGTTTGTATATTTGAGACATTTCAAATCTCTTCTAATTTTAACGCTTCTAGATCGAATGTTCCATATAGTTAGCTACTGTGAGAGACTGAGCTACTGTACTGTATAAATTTGAGGTCTATATCTTCCACTGTTCTTGAGTAAATAATAAAAAATCGTGATTTCTGTTTTTTGTTTGTCTTAACAAGAAGTATCAACTCTCAAACTTTGTCGCAATGTTACTGCTATGCTTTGCATATCGATAAATTTCGAATTTTTTTGATACCATTAAAAAGTGAGGAAGACTAATAAAAAAATTACTAGTAGGACCCTTTAAGGTTGAGAACTAATGAAAATAGTTATATTCAACTTATTTTAGAAAAAAATTAACGTGCCATTACACTTTTGATTTTCAGATACTAATTTCCCATACCGCAGGGAAAGGTATTAATCAGAAACGATGTGTGTTATTAATTCTAAATTCTAAACTATTAAAATAATGATAACGGCAACTGTAACACTAACACTAACAATAACAATAAGAGTAATAGTAACAGTAACAGTAACAGTATCAGTAACAATAACAATAATAATAATAATAACAATAGCAATAGGAAAGAAGTAGAAGAATTGAAGTCGATAAACGGTAAGAATATTATTCAAATTTGATCTGTGGGGGTATTTTTAGCACTTTTTATCCTACCATTTGCAGTTTTATTGGCTGCAACAATTTCAATCATTTCGTTACAGAAGTAATGTGCATTTTAAATACTAGGACTGCATTTACATTATTTAATTTAAAATACGTCCATATTTGAACACTTATTTATATAATATACTTTAAAATAGTAAGTAAATAACTAGAGTGCATCAGAATGCACTATATTGTTCTGATATCAAATTCATACTCTAATAATTATTGCAAGGTTTTTTACAATGTATCATTTTCATCTGATGAAGACAATGATCAAAAAAAAAATGTTGTGTAGATGCAATTTACCTTTCATTCAAATAAATGACAAACTGAGTTGAAAAATATCTTTGTCCATTATTGCAATTTAAAGTAAAGATAAACATATATTACTTAAATATTATAAACTAAATTATTCTATATTAAGTTATAGAAACACAATTTTCAAAATAAATACGAGAAAAAATAATCAAATTCAGATATTAGATGCTAAAAACGTTTCATATATAATAATAGGGACCATTCGACAACCGTATTTTTTTGGACACACATCACTTCGTATAGGTATCAGCGGTACATGATATTTGTAAATACGTTAATTTAAAAATTGCTTCAATCCATGAAAAATTATACTTCAGAATGGAATGATTTGTTTCATTTATATTTCGTTATCTCTAAGTGATAGATAGATAGATATATAGATATATAGATATTTTTTATTGGGGTTAACTTACACAAAAAGTGTTTACACACGTAAAAAAATATAGTAATAGTATAAAATAATTATGAAAAAAAAATAATAATGATAGTAAAATATACAACAGAGAACATACACGCGTACAGCAGTGTTGACACATAACTAGTTCATAATTTAAAGAACAAAGAAAATGGTAATAAAACAAAACAAGTGCAAGCAATAAATGGTTGTCAAATGTTAAAATAAAATGTTTGTACGAAGACAACAAAACAAACCAACAGTAATACAAGATAAAATAATATTATGAGTACCTAATGTAATAAGAAAAAACTGAAAGAATGCAACTGAAGTGTGCTAAGCCTACGTCTAAGTTAGTCATATTAGGGTGAGATCCCTTTTTAAAAATTCTTGCCTAGTATAAAATGTGTTGATTAATAGAAAGTGTTTTATTTTGCTTTTAAATAAAGTAGGGTTGAGATGACGTACTGGAGCTGGTAATGCATTAAAAAATTGGATGCCCAGATATGATGCGCCATTACGTGTTTTACTTAAGCGATGAAAGTTTAAGTTTATGTCATTCCAGTCCATAACTTATTGAAAGCTTCAATCTCTAAATTGTTGTGGCTAGAATCGGGGTCTCGATTTCCGAAGCCAAAAAAATTTGCCGTATGCCTAATAGAGGAAAAATATGTGCATGCTCATCATTGGTATGGTAGAGATGATATTATATAGAAAGCGGTTGGCTTAGGTCAATTAAGAGATTGATACCAGACGGCGTTTAACCAACCTTATAATCAAGTTTTCTAGAATTCCGTATTTCTGCATCAAAAGTGGGCCAGAGTTTATTCTTCCTTCTTCTTATATCTATAGTTTAGTTCTATTCAAGTCCCATAGAACCGAGGTCTTATTAGGACTATTATGCATTCAATCCTATTCAGCAAGAAGCAAGATTTTCCCAAAAGCGTCATTCTACTACATGCAAATTCTGGGCACTCACCCAGGATATGCGGAGGAAGTTTCATCAGTCGAGTCACATTCTCGGCAGACCGAACTATCTACAAGCTTTAGCTTGTATAGATGTTTCCTAAAGTTCCATTACTTTCCTGAGTAGAAGAATTTTATTCAAGCTCAGCAACTCATTTGCTCTTTCCTTCTAAGACACTCCATAAGTTGCTCCGGTGAAGCCCAGTATTATATATATTTTGACATTTGTCCAGAGCCCCCTTGACCACACTGGGAGATGTGCCATTGAAGGGCTCAATGCCAGTCAGCATTTGTAATACACGAGTTTTGAACTTACCATGTGTATCTAAAGCCTTAATTGCAGCTTGAATATGTATATTAGTTTACGATTATAACTTTTACGTACATTCTCTGCTAAACAAGCCATTATTACGAAAATTTTGCTTGAAATACAGTGGGAAACATCCCCAAACTGTAGCTTACACTCCATCGAGATCTGAGTTCATATATTCCTGCACCCATCTCTCTGGCCATTTTGGAGCCGACCGTTAACCATACTAGGTTCCATCTTCCATCTAGCCTCAAATGCCTTATGGAAGTGGAGCCTTGAGACATAGATATTACTATAATCCTGGAATATGGATTCCAGTCTCTTTCTCTCTGCTTATCTTTCCACAACTATATGAAGCGGTGATAGATTTAGCATACCACAACGCCATAAAATATTCTAGGTCTTACTATCGATGTATATGACATCATCGGCTTCAGTCTCCAGGTTCTAGCTAGGTGACTAGGTCTTGCTAACGTAAGTTGTTCCTGGTCACAAAAATTAGGTACTTAATGATAATGTTCGGCCTCTTCTCCCCGCTTTGACTTTCTAGCTAATTAGGAATAGTGATATTATTATATATTCTCAAATCATGTGATATATTAAAAAGATTATTGACCTAATTAACCAGAAAATAATAATAGTAAGTACAAAACAATGCTTTGTAAGCATTAAGTAGCTATGACATTTCAGATGTCTCGCCCACATTCGAAACCAAAAAGTTGTAAATAAGTAAAAAACAATACTGTTCAAAGTCGTTTAGTTTCATTATATTTTCTTCATCCCTATATTCAGTTTAACGATTCTCCTCATCAACAGTATCTCATTCGCATCATAGTATTCAGAAAATACTTAGTTATAATATTTTTTTTATACTATGCTATTGAACTTCTCTTTTTATGTTGAGACCCAAAGGTAGGTTTGTATAGATTAAACTAGATCAACATGCCTTCAGTAGCGACTCAGTTTTTGATTTGTGATTTGTAAGTATAATACTTCAGTTTTGTAATATACGTTGTAATAAATACTTCTACTAATACTACAATTCTGTCGTATAAAACCTACTTTCTATACAAAATGTGATTTGATTGTAGACAATTGTAGACAGTAGACAATCTCCAGTTTTTATATCTAAGTAATTTTAATGACAGTTGTGTGTCACTTATAACGTATTTTGAAGCCCAAAAGAGTATAAACTGATAGCAGTGCCACCTACAAACTTAGCAATAACCCATATTTGAAAAAAAATAACCTGATCCTCAAATGCAAAGAATGTATCCTATGAGATGTCAAATATTTTTTTTGTGTATTTAAAACATTTCAAATCCCTTCTAATTTTGACGCTTCTTGTTAGTTCTAGATCAAATGTTCCATATAGTTAGTTACTGCGAGAGATTGAGCTACTGTACTAAGTTTGAGGTCTATATCTTCCACGATTCTTGAGTAAACAATCAAAAACTGAGTTTCATATACAATTTTTTAAAGACTCTAAAGACGTTAAGAAACATTTTAACATTAATCGTTATTTATGTTTTTCTTGTTTGTCTTGAGAAGTGTCAGCTCTCAAAGTTTGTCGCAATATCACTGTTATGCTTTGTAGATCTATAAATTTTGAATTTTGTTGATACCATTGAAAAGCGACAAAGACTGATAAAAAAATTACTAGTAGAACCCTTTAATGTTGAGAACTAAGAAAAAAGTACAGATTTCTCTTATGTAATTTTCAACTTATTTTCTTATTTTAATATATCAGAAAAACTTTAGCGTACCCTGACACTTTTGATTTTCTGATACTAATTTCTCATACTACAGGAAAAGGTATCGCCGATTTATTAAGAAGCGATGTGTGTTATTAAATCTAAATACTTATTTATATTATTTGGTAAGCTTTAAGTAAAAAAAAGCTTATAAGTCCGATCTCACAAACCGTTTATAATTCAGATACCTTCTAGGAAAAATGCATTTTTGAACAGACCACTTTAATTCGCATTTGTATTAGTGAGCATTTTCGCATATTCATATTGAAGTTTTTGCCTCAATTAGTATTTTCTACTTGCTACTCAATTTCGACAGTATAATTTAGGATTTTGAATTAGCCATTCAATTAATAATAATTAATGTTAGATAGATAGGTATAATACTGTGAACCTGAGTATTTAGATTTTGTTACAGAAACATAATTCAGACTCGGTATTTAAAAGACAAACTTTCTCGATATAATTTATATTAAATATTATTAGTTTTAATTCATTTACAATTCACCTATAGATTTTTGATACTCGAGAGACCGAAGAATAGCTTCTGGAATTGGTGGTGGAGTAGGTAAATGGGCACCTTGAGGTACAAATCCATTTTCGTCAGCGGTGTACTGCACAGTGTATACAACGTTATCTGGACCAGTGTAGGTGAAGTATCCCTTTGCATTTATAGCTTCGTTCTCGGAACCTTTATTAACTAGATGGCCTTGTTCTTCAGCATAAATTCCGTTCTCAGTTTCATAGCTAGAATAAATATGATACAATGTTTTTTAATAATTATGAAAATTAAATTGATTATATAATTAATTATGACTGTAATATTATAGGCAACCAGGTAAACAGGAGATAATTTTATCTGCCTAAACTACAGTGTCAGAGAATTTTTTTATGACTAATACTCAAAACTCATTATTTTCTAAAAGGAGTTGAAAGCATAACTAGTAAACTGGAAATAATTGCATTGTTAACAGATTGTCATTGTTTGACATACTTTTTCTTTGTATTTATAACTGTAACTTTTTCAGCTTTCTCTGTATGTAGACTTTGTTATAATAATTCACATTCAAAATATAAAATAGGTAATATTTACAATAAACTTTTTTCTTTTGTAGATCTGGGAATGTTAATAATATCATTACAATAATTATGTTGTCAAAAATATCAAAATTTAAAAAAATAATTGAGTTTTACATGTCGGGACGGGATAATTTATTAAATAAATCTACGAATTTAAATACATGAAGATAATAATTGCAAGCAAAGCAATACATTAAGAAAAAATTTTTGAAACACATGAACAGTTAGTTCAGATGTGTGTTAGCAAAGTCACGTTGGTATTTATGTTACCGCGAATTATGTCATATAAAAAGATGTGCTGAATAACATTCGCTTATTCATGTGACATTTATCTTGCCATATTTTAGAATTATACTTGCATTAATACAAAAAGGTCAAGTATATCCTTCCTTTTCTAATTATTTATGCAGAATATTTAATTTAGCCTGAAACCACTCCCTGGATATTTTAATAGTTCACGATGATGGTAAAAGACTTTTTAGTTAGAAAGTAGCTGGTACCTAATTGCGTAATATCCCTGTAAAAATAAATTGGTAATTTCAAAAGTACCGTTACTGAAATACAGAATATTGAATATACTTTTATATTTAGAAGTGTATATTGTAAGTATCATGCAGGACAATAAAACAGGATAGCAAAAAAAATTCTATGCGCATGGGTGCGGAAAATCTAATAAAAAAATTTACGTGATAAAAATGCACTGCCAAAAACAAATCTTTTTAATAATTCCAAATGGGTGATAAAAAACATGAAAATTGAAACATGTCCTTAGATTCAGTTTTTTGTCTAAAAAAAAGTCCATAACAATTTCTGAAAATAATATACTTTTCTGAAGAAAAAAAAACTATTTAAAATACATTGTCAAAAATCTTCACAGTTTTTGAGAATATGTATTGAGCAAAACTTTTAACTATTACTGACACAATTTCCCAGTTAAAATAACTAATAAAAAGACGAAAAGGTAAAAACAAACATAACTAGATAATCTTTTTTTTTTTCGCTACCCTAATTTAATACACTTTAAGGCCCGGTACTTTGAGTCTCGATTAAAGCTTGATTAACTGATCGGGCGATTAGACTGTACATATACTGATTTATTTTATAAATAATAATTACAGTCTAATCGCCTGATTAGTTAATCAAGCCTTAACCGAGACTCAAAGTACTGGGCCTAAATATAACATTAAATGATTGCATTTTTTTATTTTGTTCCTTATAATGCCTTAGTAAAAATTGATGACTTTTTGATTTTCAAATTATATGTATTATAATAATTATTATTATTATTAAGAATGTTGATTCAAAAATAAAATATAGGATGTAAGTAACACACAATGTGCCAAAAATAAAGTTTATATAAGAATATATTCTTATTGCTATTGCTTTGAAGCCCTCGGTTTTGAAATATAAAGTGTCGAACGATTAAAAAAATCGTATATCTAAATATATTCTGAAAAAATAAAGATACTAAAATGAAATTTTTTATGAAGAATGAAAAGGTCTTTTTCCAATGGTGTGGCATAATTTCTGAGCAATATGTAACCAGCAAACTTTATACCGACGCCACTGATTGTGCAAACAAAATTTCGTTGCATATTTTCTTTAAAAAAAACTTCAATACCTTTCATTTCAAAAACGAATACTTCAATACCGAATGTTTAGAAATTTTTATGAAAAGTTGTAGTCCCATAATTTTTTGATGATTTTAACCTAACGTTTATTTTTGTCATAAAATTATAAATAACTTTCTCATACGAAACTTTGATATTCCATTAGAAAATGAATTTTGTGATACTATCAATAGTTTCCAATAAATATGTAAATTAATGTACTCACAGGTAGTTATAACTCTCTGGCTCAACTACTTCAATTTTTCTTATAATGGCATAGTTCTTGTTGTCATACAAACCAGCTGCGTTGCCTTGTTTTAAACTTGCTGCTTGACCATAACCAGCAGCTGCAGGAATTCCAGATACCTTATTAGCGCCGTACACTCCTGAACTGATTCCCAATGAAGCACCTGATGGAGTACTTGATCCAGATGATCCTCGAAGGCCTGTAGGTATACAAACATCAGTATTTAAGTTACAGCACGAAAGTGTTTTCTATACAGGGTGATTCACAAATAGTGACCAAAAATGAAACCTCTTTTCTATAAAGTTTGTGTTAAACTTCAAAAAGTATTTTTAATTTTTTTAAACAATTTAAAAACTAGTAAATGAAATAATTTGAAATTAGGCGCATGTATTTATGTAAACATTGTCCAAAATCTAAGGGCTTTTCCCAAAATTTACATGCTCCAGTGGCGGAGATACAGGGTATCTGTAGTATATTTTTCTAAACGGTACGCCACTGCTTTAGGGTAACAACCATTATATTTTCAAATTCGTCTATCAATTTTCTACAAATTACTACTCTCTTATGTTTTCGAAAAATGCTTGACTTTCGAGTAACTTAAATGTACGTTATGTTTTTAAATTGCCCACCTTGCTTTAAGGTAGATAAGTGAAAATACTTATTTTACTTTTGTTTCCTTTTATTATTGGAAACCTGCTAAATACGCCCCAGAATTGCTCTGTAATGAATATTGAAACACAATATAGAGAAATAAATATCTAGAGGACTATGGTTGGATGATCTAGGCAGTCATACAACATAAGCACCATTCACCGATATTTTTGTGAAAGGTTTTTATTTGGCTTAAACATTTAAACTTATTTATTTACTTACACACCTGTAACTTCGGAACAAATAAAGATCGATCTAACATTTTTATGTGTTTTAGTATTACAAATAAGTATACTTTATGCTCCCAAAATTTTAGCACAACAATACGGAATGCATAACTTACCGATTTTGGACTACAGTCTTTTGTGGACACTTCAATATAAAAATACAGAATAAACTATCATCGTTTCATCCATTTTAATATAACACGGCCAAGCCCAGCATAGCTATCGTTGTATCGCCGAATTTAATTTGCTTAGTAAGGTGAAAACTTCAAACATTATGTAATTATTTGATTTACCCAATGGATAGAGTATAAAAAGAATAATATCTAGGTATATCGTATTGTACCCAAATTTATATCTGGGTAAATATTACTTATTCAAACAGAAGTAAATAATTTCCATAACCATTGTATTCTCATAATTGACCAATGCAATATTTATTCTATTCCATCAAGATAAACGTTATTAAAGACAACCTTCATAATTTGAATCGTAACAATAAAGGATGAAAAGAAAAGTGTTTTTTACAAACAACTTTCTTATTTTAAAATAAACTCTGTGATATAATTCAACTAATTTTCATAACAGGTTAAATTAGCATGCTACATTTTAAGATGGCTATTGCATTCTGCATCATCGACTTTATGTACTTGTACATATCTTGGTAGGTCATTGAATTCCAAACACGATATAATTAACACAAAACTGCTCTATTGCTAAAAAAAACTGAATGATTAAGAAGCTAACGGAATCTCAACTAAGTATTATAGATAGGAATTTACATATGTAACTTGAAATGATGATAGTCAATAACAGCATTTTTCCTGTTTTAGCGTTAAAAGCTTTATTAAAACAATTGAACAATAAGCAGTTCATACATATTTCTTTCTATTGTGAAAATTCTGAGGTGCGTAGGTATAAGGAAATGGAACATAACACTTGGTTAAATATACGCCAAAAGAAGAATACAAGATGTTGTATTTTCAAAGTATAGGATATCTAAAATTAATGGAAAGGTGGTTTATTTATTTCATGTTCAATTTTTGGAATTGAGGGCATCAAAATAAATAATATTTTATGTTATTCATATATAACGTGATTACCTGAATTATTATTATTATTTCAAAGATAATCATGCTTTCATTAATAATATCTGTATACATGGTATAACATTTTGACATTTATCTTGAAAACGGTACATCGCGACGGCAAATAGCAAGAGTAAACGCATTTTAAATAAAATATTATTTACTTGGAAGACCTTACCTGTTTTTTGCAACTTGAAATATACCAAATATCTTTATAATTTTGAACATCCTGTACTTTGAAAATGGAACAATCTGAACACATGTATATGTATACTGTTATTAAAATTTCGTTGAGCGTTTTAATTACATCTTACATCCTGGATAAATTCATTATTACATGTCGTTTAAAATACGTAAAACCTTATTTTTTATTGAATTTTCATTTCGCGTTTGATTTTATTTATTTTTATAATACTCATTGGCAATTGATAATTCAGCAATTGAGATTTGTCAACGTATCTCCATGGAATACTTATCCAACTTATATCCAATGCTTTTCGTATTTACTTTTTGAAAAATATTTTCTCCTTCTACACGCATAGACAGTGCAACACATTTTTTTAACAAAAATTATCCAGGAAAGCACATTTTTTTATGGAGAAAACATTTCCGTATATTCAACAATTATTATTGACATCGCAATCTCTATTTCAAAAGTGGTAAAAATAATATGTTGCAGCAATATTCAGTGCCATTTGAGAGCACAAGTTATTATTTTTATTTTCATTATTTGCTTGTGCGTAATAATAAGACCGACCCTATATACTAAAACTAAATTAAAAAAATTATAAAATTTACTAACTAGTGTACAAACGAAAATTAACTAGAGAAATAAGAGGTTCTCATGTGCTTTTAAATAATAATATTGTGGCAAACAACTGCATTACGGGATACATACTGGTAACGAAAAATCCCTAAATCTTGATGCCACCAATATTAATGATTCGTTTACAATGAATAATGACAAACCATTACAACTATGCTCGAGATAATGCGATCGCTGATTGGTTGAATAGAATATCGTGAAAAATTACACCAATCACAGCCTGTGAAACAGAAATTTAATTACCTACATAAAGGAAATAAAATTACTGCTCCAAATAAAATGGCTGATCATGTGGCCTGTATTCATTTATGAAGGCTCTGTAGTTAGGAAAATCAAATATAGATCGGTCTCGATTTTATTAATTCTCATCAGTTGGATGTTATCGACATATCTCAGCCACGTTTTAACATGTCTTTTATCATAAGCCACAACTTCCACTCCTCCCATATGAATACAAACTTCACACTGAGAAGAAAAACTTTCGTAAATGCATTACTATTTCTTTGCAAATAATATTCTAAATTTATTCTATTACTAACCTGTTCCTACGACTATGGTACTTCCACTGCCTCCAAATCCACCACTACCACCTACACCTCCTGAGCCGCTATAATCGCTGCCTGAACCACCAGCTTGATGTAAGTATGGATTATCATCGGGGACGTAATCCCCAGAATTATCATGTTGGTAAGAACCACTTTGATCAGGATAATAGTCTCCACTGGTGTCATGAATATATCGGCCGTCATTGCTATCAGAACTTAAGACATTTTGGTATTGTGTTGGGCGGAAAACTAAGCTACCCTGAGGAGCACCTAAAGTAGCTGTAACTCCCAAAGCTACTATGGAAACAAAGGAGAGCTGCAACAAATTATTTCATTACTATGTTTTAATATAAATATATAAATTATAATATAAATATTACAGTATGTTACTCCATTTAAGACGAATCTAAATGTTGATGCTTTTAATTTGAATATCCTACTTATTTTCCACATTTAGATGCTAGGTACGATGAATGTGGTATTGCAAAATAGTTTTAATCTTAATTTGAACGAAACACATGGCTCGAAATTGTGAAATATTCATATATTGTATGAAAAGGTTACCTATCTTCACAAATCGCCTTTAAAATCTTAAAGTGAATATTAAAATACTCGAATGATTTACAAACTTTATTGTTTTGTTCAAAAAATTAAGAATAAACTATTTTTCAATGCGTTTAAGTATATTGCTTATAAAACCACTTGACGTCAAATTGTTTTGTAAACTCTTTGAATGAGTACAGATAAAAAAGTTTCCGGTCTAAAACGTTTAACCGTGTTTAAGGTATGAAATTAATAAAATTCTGTTTTTTTTTAAATCATATGTAGTTTACGTTCTAAACATTTTAATGTCCACATCTGCATCTAACTATGATAAACTTATTTGTAATATCTTTAAACACTTTTCGTTTCTTTATCATACTGACGCGTTAAAGAAATGACCATTTTTTAAAGTAATTAATAGATTATTATTATTAAAGAAAACAGAACTATGCAGCGTATCAGAGAATCTTTGAAATACAGTACCAATGTCCTTTTGAAACTGTAATGCCAAGCTAACCTTTAGGTGAGTAAGTTTTTTGTTGAAATTCAAAAAGTCTAACGCCACTGGTTTCCAATATGTAGTGTTGTAATTAAAAAATATTTCATATTTTTTCAAATATCTCTAAAAATGTTTTATATACCTATGAATAGTTTATAGAAAATTGAGCTAATGATTTAGGTAACTAATTAATAACATTTCGCTGGACTGGTATACAAATATAGAGGTACTTCCATTAAAAACTAAAAAATTTCAAGTTTTTCAATTTTTTTGGAAATTTATCAGGACGATTTGAATTCCAACTGCACTGTAAAGTAAGAAATATCTTCAATCCTATCCGAAAAAAAGACTAATTTTCCAGTTGTTATTTTTATTTAAAAAAAAACTAAAACTGTCCATTTATAATAAATGTACCCATACGAATTTTTTGTGGAAATTCTGAAAACAGTGTCCATCGGAAGTTCAAAAACACTTTTTGTCGTATACATTTTGAATTTTTGGGAGCTGTATCTTTACGCTGTTCTTCAGATAACTAAGAATTTCTACAGCAAACGTTTTATTACACTTTCGAAGATCGCATTTTATTTAAAATTGCATTTGAAATAAAAAAATCCTATTAAGTATTTTTAGTCAAACAAATAGTTTTGCAATCGTTTTGGAGTTATTTAACTGTAAGTTAATTTTGAATTTAAAACAGGAATAACTCGAATATTAAGAATTTAAGAAACTAATGAACTGCATTACAAAATACTAAAACGTAAGCCTCTATGTTTCAAGTAAACCATCAAACAAGTTACGTTATGTAGGTATATATAACTAAAATGGTAGGATACTTCAATTAATTTTCAGTTTTATTAAAGTTTAAAATAAAAATTGTCTTCGCTATGTTGTATTTCTTAACTTTGGGCTATAATAACAAAAACATAATATTCAAGTTAATGGGATATTAAAAAGGAAAGATAATTATGAGTATAACTTTAAATTACTATTCTCACTCACTTGGGACTGCTAAGTAAGTTTAATTGTCAAATTTATGTCTGTCACTTTCTTATGCATATGCTGTTTGTTAGATAGAGATTTAACAGACAAATTAATTAATTAGAAGTTGGACAAAATGGGCCTTAATATTTTTTTGTGTAAAATCGATGTTAATAAATGTTGATATAATTTATTTATCTTTAAAATAAAATAGAATTTAAAAAGTGTACTATCTAGCCATCCTCTTAGTTAATTTCAATTTTAATTATTACCACATTCTTATTTTTGTTTTTGTATCCATTGTACTTTTTTGCTAAAAGTTTAAAAATAAACACAATGTGAGTAAATTTCACTTACCAAAGAAGTCATTTTCAAGATAGCTTCAGGTTGAATAACATACAATCAGAAGATGTTTATATATATAGACTTTTTTTAGCTCTATCTTAATGAATCACGTTACTATTTGATATCTCATTCCCCCACTATTTATAAATTTGTACGATAAACTTATAGTAAAGTATTAATAAAAAATACGAAATTGTTAATTATGCAAATTGGGTGAAACATGCGGAGTGATTTGATAAACTACTTAAAACGATGTTTTGTAGGAGAGCATTAAAGATTCTGCATATTTATTACTAGTTGAAATAAATGAGAATTTTGTTGAACCCTGGCATTAGATAGGAAAAAAATGTAAATTTAGTCTTTCGCTCAATATGGTTTTAATAATAATTCATGTTAGGATGGACTAACCGTTTTTATTTGACATAATTGCATATTAAGTAATACGTAATATAGTTAAAATTTAAATAGGGATCGCTACTATTTTGATTGTTATTTTCTGTGAAACATTTACAGTCTCTATCAGATTTTCAATTAATTATTAACCATATTATATACAAACAATTCCATAATTTAGTATATTGAAGAAAATTGCTATACACATGAATCTAATATCTAATATCTAATAAATGAGGATTTGAAATATATTAAGATTGTGGATACGCCGAAACGTTATAGTAGCATCTTTTCGTTAAAAAAGAAAACCAGATATTATTTACGAATATATTGGTATAAAAGGCTTTTCATTACTCTCCTAATATCGTCTATAAATATTGTCACAATTTGTCTTTAATCGGAGTTAACTATTTGTCACAATAAATAGATTAGAGAATTTACGACAGAAATTATGCTTTTACACTATTTCAATAATCAATATAATTTAAAATAAATTCTAATATAGATAATAATTATATTACATACAAAAATTATTTATTGAACACGACAAAAATGAAAACATTGAAAAGCAACATATACAAAATAATACTAGAAAAATGGTGTGTGTGTGTCAGTGAGGCAATTTATATTTAAATTAAGTCCATTTGAAAAACCAATATTTAACAAGCAATAATATATTAATGAATGCATTTTGGGTAAATTAAACTTTGTCCAAAGTGATCAGGAAAAAGAATAGGAATAAATTTCCTGGGCGATTTACATTATTTTATAATTTCATCAAAACAAGTAAGATAAATGGATATTCTTACTTTATTTTAAAGGTATTTAGCTAATTCAAATAAATTAAAAAATTGTTTTAAATGTCTAAAATGGAGTCTAATATTTATTAGGATTCTTAGAATTTAATTGAATTAGTTTCATACCTTTAAAATAAAATAAAAAATACGAGAGCTAATAATAAAATATATATTATTAAAAAAATTAATGACTATAAACTCAACAAGATATCTGACTTGTCTTAAAAACATCCTAAATGACCGCACAAAATCGCGCAGCAATATTTTTTAAACGAGTCTTAGTAAAATTTGATGATATAAAGAATGATATAAAAAAATTATTTAATAAAATAATAATTTGCTAAAGGCTTCCGTAAAAGGTTATAATCAAATTTCTTCTTGATGCAGCGATATCTTTTCCGTTACTGTATTTCTTTATGGCCTGTATTACATATCCCACAGCATTCTGCTGCATGTCTTACTTTTTTTAAATCAGTAAATTTTTAATGCGAAGTGTTTTTTTCGGCCTATAGGGACACAATAGAGTTAAAATTTCATTAATATCATGCCATACCCCATCCTTATTTATTAAATATTTTCCAAGCGTTCTGTCATTTTTAAAATTTGTTACCTACATACAATACCTGAGTAAAACGTTTACTAAAACATTATTTTTATTATAGTTCTTTCAAAACACCTTATTAATAATAATGTAAGATGGGCTTTTTCGGGCAAGCGCACGAAAACAGCGCACGGAGAAAGTTGTCCCAATCTCCGATTCTTTCCGTGCGCTGAATAAAAATACCGAATATATGGTTTTAAAATAGAAATACCTATAGATACCTACAGCAAAGTAAACTAAATTTAAGATAGTCTATATGTTATAATTAACATGTACCTATTTTGTATTTTAATTCGTAAATGTTTGAATATTTTGATAAATTTCGGTAATATTTTTTAATGTTTTGTCCACCTTATCTAACACTACTTTAAAACAAATTACCTTTGAAATAATTTAATTTAATGGAAACGCATCATACATGTCGAACACTGTATTATTGTCAGCGTTGTTTATTTACTGTCAATAAAATTTATGCCGATAAAATGTACTCAGAAGAAAATTCCGAAATCCCTGATAACATCCTAGAGCAAGCGGCACAAGCGAACATAAATTTATTACCGATATTCTTCTAGTTTACTTTGTCGAAAAAGCCAAGTCTATGAAATCTTCCACGTTGTGAAGTTAATGCTAAAGAGCTGTTTGACCATAAAAAATGCTGACATCAACAAATATCCAAAAACTATTGCTTTCTTGAAGCGTCGAGATGTAGGATATATACCGAAAAAGTCCAAAGTTTTCACAGCAGAACAAGTAACCGAATTTTTATGTGATAAGCTCCAGATGAACAATATCTACTACCTGAAGCAATTTTAGTGTTTGGGATCTTGGGTAAGATGATTTAATACGTTTAAATTTTGACGATGTGGTAGATAATGAGCGCTTTCTTGTGTATTTAACATGGAAAAACTCACATCAAGTTTCACCATTACCAATGAAGGATGTCCATTTCAGCCCTGCTCACTTTATCGTAAATATGCAGCTCTACGAAATAAAAATATGAACAGCAAGATTATTTGTTGCATATCGAAACGGCAGGTATTACGCTCAACAAGTTGGATGCCATATAATCAGTGGTGTTCCGAAAATTGTTGCAGAATACCTAAAACTAGAAAGCCCAGAAAATATACCGGGCATGGACTAAGGCGTTCTTCAGCAACCATGTTGGTGAAAAGTGGCACTGATTTATTCACTCTGAAAAGTCACCGAAGATGGCGTTCTTCAAATGTAGCAGAAGGATATATAGAACAATCCATACAAAGAAAAATTGAAAACTGTTTAACCCTTCTTACTCTCAAAATACAACAACTGTATCATTCGAGAAAATCAAAACTTTTGTGAAGAGTCTGCTTCAATAACTGCAGTTTCATAAAATGAAACTCTAAAAGGACTAAACCTGTGCAATAATACGAATTGCACAATAAATATAACCATAAATAATAACAATTCAAACTAAAAGCGTTCCAACATCAGTTGGAGCTGTTATTATTAATAGTTAGTTAATTAGTTAATTTTCCATATTCCTACTCTACATGTTTTTTTATTCCTACCTGTACAACTGTTATAAGGGGACCGCCTAGCCGGGTCTCTTGGCCGGCGGATTTCGATCTGCCGAGTCAAGCATCACGGACGTGAATCAATTTTTGTATGTAACGTTTCGTCTCTCCAGGACCATCAACTTCATTTTTTTAAATGCGACCCTAGAAATTTTATTATATATTTTGCAAGCCTTCATGACTCCCAATACTGTACTGCCTCAGCTCGAACCAGAATCAGACGTTATGTCTCGAAAAATTCATCAGTGTATTCGTTCCAAATTTATCTAAATTTTTTATTTAGAAATCCATCTAGTTATTTAAACTATTACGCGTTACACACGCGTTACAATAAAACATTATTAGAGTTTTATTCCCGTGTCCATAGTTGTTACTAGGCTTCTTGAGTGCTCAAAATGATTTTTTTTTTAATTTTACGTACCCATCATTCTTAAAAACACTACGGAAGGCGATACAGAATAAAAGAAGGGAAACGTTAACAAAGTAAGTGCGCTTGTTGCATGACAATGCACGTCCACACACAGTCAATGCCACAAACCAACTCTTAGATTCATTCGGTTGGAACATCATCAACCACCCCGCTCACAGCCCTGACCTGGCACCTTCTGATTTTCATCTTTTCTCTGAAGGTGTTTGTGGGTGGAAAACGGTTTTCTAAAGAAGATAAGGTCCACAGTTCCTTGAAACAATGAGTCTGAATATGTAAATTTTTCATAAATATACTGTTGTTTCGATGTTTTGAGTACTCTTTGTTTATGTATCTCATATTATCACCATAAAAACAGCTACCTACTACAAGGATATGTTTTTGTTTCCACATTTTATTTGAGATTGTTTGATCAGGCAGATTTCCTCCTTGTATACAATTATTATAAATATTAATAGAAAAAAATATATACAAAAAAGGACATTTTAAAACGACAATGTAAAAAACTGTTGGGCATGACTACATCACAATTGTTTTTTCACCTAAAAAAAATATTTGCTCTTTTTACAAAGTTTCTTTTAAAAAAGTACATAATTTGGATAATAAGACAGCAAAAATATAAAAAATATATATAAAAATAATACAGTAAACTATCGATTTTAGGATGTACCAAATTTAGAAACTTTACTTATGTGCTTCTTCCTTAACACAATTTGAATAGTATTTCAGTATTTTTGTCGCTTATTCTTAGGTAATTTTTTTCTAATTTTTTATTAGTTTGTCTATTATTTAAGAAAATTATTAGAACTTAAATTTGAATTAGCTTAATAACTACCTTTAAGGTTATATACAATTTTGAAAGGACGGACTTTTATCGACATATAAATAATTAAGTTTAAAAGACCAAAATGCTTAAGGGCGCCGTATTCTTATATGACACTATTCTATAAGGAAAACTTTTAAACCCCTGACAAATGCTGTCATCTACCACAGAGTTACTAATTTCGTAGGGCTTCTACCTGACCTTCCAGTGCCTTTCAACTTTTAGAGAATACTTTTTTGCTACTGTTTCTATATCACGTGTACGTGGATCCTAACATCCCTACGATTAGAATGCTAGGTAATAAGTTGATATTTGTATTTTAGTTTAGTATGCCCGTGTAGTGGAAACAACTGTAATTTAGAGAAAATAAAATTGTATTAAAATTTCAGCAAGCATTTATACCAGAAATAGATATTTATTTGGAAAGATT